ACATTACTTGGGGTTTGCAACGCGCATAGTACTGTATGGTGACATCATGTCAAGATCCCATTCAAGTATCATCTCGTAGATAGCGAGACTGGTGCTACAACCATCTGACATAATAAAGCAATAAAACATGTATTACTACATTCATAGTGAAAAAATGTAATACATCTAAAATGTTCAGAAAATATAGTTATCGTAATCCGTCATATCGTGAGCAGCTATTTTGATCCACCTGGTCTTCCTAGTATACTAGTTATCTCGGGCATGCGCATTCGCATTTTTCTGAGCTGGAACGCTTATACGAGAGCGAGATTGTAACGGGATTTTGGTATCATTTCACCGTAGTTACAAACCCCAAGTAATGTACCTCTGGTAGTAGCCAGAATAGAACATTGTAGAGTAATTATTGGTAAACAATAGAGTTTAATTAACATATTAATAAATAAAAAGTACATGATTAACATATTCTATTGTTATGTGAATTAGTCAGATATTGAATTTCAATAAATTTACTTTCAGTGAGCTTTCCAATTACATGTGGTCTGATTTTTATCCATCTACTGAAAGAAAGGAAAATATATATATATTTATATGGCTTAGGACGTATTAGTAACACAAAACGCCTGCCAAATAAATCATCACAAAGCAAGAGAAAAAAATCTGCAAGACATAAGAATATCACTGGATGCATTTAAGATGATATGAAATTAACCTACTGTTGGAACAAAAGAAAGTATTGTATTTGGGATATTTTATCATTTACAACATACTGAGCTATAAACTTCTTAATAAAATACCACTCTGACCAATCCCCAGGAGCAAGTAAAGCATATGACTTCATGTAGGATTTCAGTTGTGGTACTTGGAAAAGAGTACACCACAATTTGTAAAGGTCTTCTTTGCTTTTGAGTGTCTGCCTCTTTTCATCTATCAATATAGTTGTATCAACACTGTTTAATTCTTCTGTATCAACATCTGTGTAAAACCTATAGAAAATAACCAATATGTGAACATTATTACAGTTTGATTTATTTATATTTTCTCTATATTAAATTTCAGAACATGCTTTGTATCTAATCTGAGACATGTTCTAGAAACCGTGGACAGAAAACGTAATAATTTGTTATGAATAATTGAAATGCTTTCTTCATGTTACCGATACCACTTCTAACAAGGATTTGCTGCTCATCTTTGTATATGTATACTGGTCTGAAATATACAATGTGAAATAAAATGTTAGGTATATATAGGCCTGGTACTTCGCTACACCGTAATACTTCATACTTCATACCGAATATATTGTATATTATATGAGCTTCTTATTATAAGGATACATCAACATTTGCGCAATAACAGAACAACAAAGTAGTGAGATAACAACTAAGCCAATGTAATCAAGGGCGGAGTTGCACAATTAGCAACAGAGATTGAAATATATGAGAATTTGTTATTGAAAGAGTGTGCTCTAAACCACATGAGTGAGGATGCTATTAGAGTTGAAGGATCCTTCTTGATGATTGTCTAAGTCGGGAAGTTGGTGGATTTTAGGAACATATTCAAAGTTTGTTGTGCAATGTGTCTTGAACAAACAATTGATAATGATCACAATTCTCTTGTAATGTACTAAGCCTGTGCATACAGTGATAAATAAACGTTAATGTCGTACTGCCAAGATTCTGTATAATTTCGCTGTCTGGACCCTTCACCATAGATGACGCTATAATCGTAATAATAATAATTAATAATGATAAAAATGTAAATTAATTATAAATACGTTTATCAAGAGTCATAAGAAGCAGGACGTGTTATTTATTTGTTATTTGACACTGATATTGTCGAGCAAACAACAAACTATACGATGTGATAATTCCTACAGTAGGTGGTACATCCTAGAAATAGATAGTTGAATGCATATGGTAAACGAAATGGGACGTGCAACACTTTGTTGCTAATGTTATTTTGTACAAATCTCCGGAAAACCAGCTGCATTGATCATCAATAAGCAATAGTTCAAGGAATCGTAGTCGTCACAATTTCCAAAATGTTGGTCGGTGCAACACAATGACTGACACTTTGTCTCGGCAAAGGTCGGCAACAACGAGAATATGAGTGAGAATGTTTTTTTAGAAATCACAATCTCATCTCGCTTCCAAGATTTCAGTATCTTGATACCCGTTCTGCGATTCAAAGTGACGACGCGTTTGGGTGTCGCTACGTGATTCTGAAATATGAAATAAAGCACACAATCATACAAACTTCTCATCATATCGAATGGTCTAATAAACTCGTTATAAAAAAAAACACATGTTAACTTGCATCGTCCGAATCACACGGTCCCGTGTCTTCGACCTACAGGCCTCTACACGATACCGTACTGGATCGCATAGGCTAATTGCGTATCTTAAGCAGTGAGATCTGATTGGACGCCTCGAAACCTAACAACCCTTATAATATGGCTATGACAATTGTTAGTTATGAAAATAAAGATACTAAACATTATTGAAAGTGTCAGGAAATACGATATCTTAAATAAAAATTTGGGTGATTTTACGAAATGTACGAAATTGGTATTAGAAGACATGTTGGTGCGAAGATTCGTGTATGTATTATTAAAAGCTTGTTCAGTTCTTTTTGAAGCGTGTCTTGACAAGGTGGCTTGTATTGCACTGGCATAATTACATTTGACCATCAGATCTATACAAGTAAGACTGAGTATGGTGACACGCACCAGTTATAACAATAGGCAGGCTTACACGAATCATGTAAATGAGAAGCATTCCAAAAATAATGTAGTTCAGTTCAAACCAACACTGTGTTTAGCAAAGTACTACCTGAACTCCACTCTAACTATCCGGTACTCTAAAATTACGTTTGTGTTTATTCTACTAAATGATTATAATAGATGTATAATATAATAATGTATACGGACTGCACTATAGGTAATACTTATTAAATAGAATGTTGATATGAGTGCGCCACCTACGTACTGACAAATTTGTCTTATTCAGTGACCGTTGACTGCAAGGGCGAATCAACAATCCAAGCTCTCACCCGAATGATAACACGAACTTCATCAACCAGCCACAAGACGAAATAATCCTTTTGCAAAGTGCAAAAGTGTGTATGGCATTTTCATAAAAAATCAATATTTAGGTAGTTTTTTAATCAACGAGGTAAGTTCCTTGCATATGCCACAAACAATACAATACAATACAATACAAACAAAGCATGACACCTCCATTTCAACAGTATGGGTTCAATTGCAATTTAATTCAATTTATATGGTACACTTGATAAACAAAACCTACATGGACACTACATATAGCAAATTATAAAATCCGTGACATCGGATTTCAAACGAGAATGGACACATCCACATATTAACCCATCATCTCCCATAAAATAAAACCCAGACTTTTTGAAATCTGCTTTTTCTGACAATGCTCTCGATAAATTCCGCCTTGCTTCTATATAAGTGTAAACGGGGTATTGATAATGTTTACCTGATAAAGGTATTTGATAAGCAGAGCAAGGAACATACTAGTAGTTCACTATAAAGAAGGGGTAGTTGAAAGACTATATTTTGGAAAAATGTTTTTAAAATATAATTTTCAAACACGTGAACACACTCACACACATTGAAGCAATAATGTCAATTTACAGTGCTCTACTTTATTACAATAAAATAAAACTGTTGTTTCCTTATGCCCTTTTCCTTATCAAATGCAGATATGAACCAACTAAAATATATATTCCTATGTTATTTATCAATCCACGTTTAAACCATGGCACCGTATCTCAATGTATTCTTTATCCGTAACAATTAAACCACATCTATATATACTACATAACTTTTTGTGCTTCTGCTCAATATTAGTGATAACAATTACCCGACACCAGTAATTTAATAATGTTCCAAACAACACTATGCTTATTGTATGTCCCGGGCCCTCATTTCACGTCACGTTTTGATCTTTCCATGGTTACATTATTCACAGCTGTAAAAACGAAAACAAAAATACAATAAGGTATTACGTTATATGGATTAATACTGACACTCATAAGAAAACGAGGTTGACATTATACTAACTAAAAATACTTAAATTTTGGAAATAAATATTATTAAATATTTAAAACATGTATCACAATATTTCGACGCGAAACAAAAAACGCATATATTATTTTTTTCGGGTTCGTGGGCAATCACAGCGTTATATATACATTTGTTGTATTGGCTTTGCAGTGTTGAAATCGTGGAGCTCTGAAAAGTGCAAAAAAATCTCTGCATAATTGCAAGGCAGTACACATATAATGTAAAATATGTCTGATGTGATATGTGATTCTATTTATAACCTATTAATCGGTAATTTTTTGCGAAGGTTAAACAACTACCTGATTGAGATTATGCAAATTAGTCATTCTTTTAGCTATGTTAGTAGGGCTGTTCAAGTATTCAACACTTCTGGTATCATTGCTTGAACAAAACAAAACACAAATAAAAACGTAAATGTACTTTTCGTCACGATCACACACCGTACATAGTGAAACTTTAAATCTATTGGAAGCAAACTTCGGAAGGTATTTTAGTTTGAAATCTCATCATCATCTGAAAAACTATAACGTAGACAATTTTAAAACAAAATATCTAAACCATTGTGATATGTTTGCCTTGACATTGTAAAGCACATGACGCGAAATGTCTGTTGTTGTATGCTTGTGGTTACAATAACCATTTTTATCAAATTTTCTTTAAAATTAGATACTATACTAACCAGTTTAGGAACTCGGTACATGTTCTATGTATTTTGAAGATATTCATTACATTTCACTCAATTGGCTTTTTTAGACAGATTTTCAAAATATGCACAAAATGTGACTGAAATACACATTTACATAAATGAAAACAAGTGAACAGAAAGAAGGCATTTACAATGCTGATAATGAGCACCATTGATTAGTAATTTCCAAAGATCTGTTAATTAGATATGTGTGGTAAACCAATATTATTGTTTTGAGTATAAATAAAACAAGTGACAAGTGCAGTATTCCCCGCCTGTTTCAAATCTGGTTAGTATTTAATTTTACTTACATTTATTACTGCACTATTATTACATATATACTGCAGTTTATTTTGATTCGTCCCTGAAATCAAAATCGGTATTTCCACAACCCATATGCAAATGAGGTCTGAGAGCAAACAAAGTAGTCCCTTCATGAGTACCATTTTTCGAAATAAACAATATTTAGAAGTACGATATTTTCCCCTTGGGGTACATGAATATACTTGCCGAGTGAAATGAAATTTGAACAACAGTAATGGTACTTTTAGGCAGTCACTTATTTTGAGTCAAACTAATTTGCATATCACCCATGCAATAATGTTTTCGGTATTTTCACGGTCGATATGCAAATGAACATGGTATTTCCATTGGCTACCGAACTATTTTTATTTTGTAAACACATTTTCGTCTGCTATTTTTATCCGGTTCAAATCGTTCAGCAACATTTTTGGCATGTCAGGTGTACATCACATAAAATACTATGATTGGGAGAACTTAATGTACGTTGATCACCTGGAAATTAAGTTATATAAACCTTGAAGGGCTCTGGAAAGACCCACCCGCAGTAAAATCAGCGATTACTATAGAGCCGCAACCGTTGAACATCGAGATACCAGGAGGTTTCTGCTGGCGACATTGCAGCGTTACTGAGTTCCAAATAAAGATTATTAGCGCCAAATGAGCAACATTTTAACCGGTAACCAAGACTCATTCAATCCACGACCAGCAAGCAATATCACAAAAGAAGTTGTAGCTTGCAGCTCAGCGACGACCGCTGTCGACGAAAGTCATCCCGTCTGTGGAGTACCGCAGTCACGGTTGCACGGCTTGTTTGCCAATGCACAATTCTGTGGCGGAACTTTTAACTTCAACATAAACAGTGTATCATAATCGTCCAGTTCAAGTTCTGGTTCTGTCGTGGCCCCAACTAAACGTCCACGAATAATTTATTCAGACAGTGATTCAGATTAGACGTATGATTATTATATTTCCACACAGACAGTGACACGCGTTCTACACTGGCACGCGCTGCTAGGGCCTAACACTGTCTTGGAACATATTAATGGGCAATGGGGTTCCCGATCTAAATTCCATTCGATTTGTTGCACGTTCTTTCTTTAATATGAAATAATCAAATATGGAACATATGTAATAATAACAGAACCCCACACCCTCC